AAATATTATGTCTTAAAGTATGTTTTTGTTTTACTTTCAGGTATCGAAAACCCCGACTCTGGCATTGGTATCTACGCTCCTGATGCCGAGTCTTACACCGTGTTTGCTGATTTGTTCGACCCCATCATCGAGGACTACCACAAAGGATTCGGAAGGACCGACAAGCACCCTCCCAAGAACTGGGGCGATGTCAGCGTTTTCGGCAACCTGGACCCTGCCGGTGAATACATTGTATCCACCCGCGTGAGATGCGGGAGGTCCTTGGAGGGCTACCCATTCAACCCCTGCTTGACTGAGGAGCAATACAAGGAAATGGAACAAAAAGTGTCCACCACTTTGTCTGGCTTGGAAGGAGAGTTGAAGGGCACCTTCTACCCCTTGACTGGAATGAGCAAAGACGTCCAACAGAAGTTGATCGACGATCATTTCCTGTTCAAGGAGGGAGACAGGTTCTTGCAAGCGGCCAACGCCTGCCGTTTCTGGCCCAGCGGTCGTGGTATCTACCACAACGAAAACAAAACCTTCTTGGTTTGGTGCAACGAGGAAGATCATCTGCGTATCATTTCCATGCAACAAGGAGGAGACTTGGGAGAAGTTTACCGTCGCCTTGTAACTGCTGTCAACGACATTGAAAAGCGTATTCCATTCTCTCACCACGACCGTCTTGGGTTCCTCACTTTCTGCCCAACCAACTTAGGTACTACTGTGCGTGCATCAGTACACATTAAAGTGCCTAAGCTGGCTGCTAACAAAGCCAAGCTTGAAGAGGTCGCCTCCAAGTACAACTTGCAAGTCCGTGGAACACGTGGAGAACATACTGAAGCTGAAGGTGGCATTTACGACATCTCCAACAAGAGACGCATGGGTCTCACTGAATTTGAAGCTGTTAAGGAGATGTACGATGGTATTGCTGAACTGATCAAAATTGAAAGGGAATTGTAAAGCCCAATGATTCGTGATCATTACATATAAGCAATGATATGATATAATTTTTAGTACCATCCGTACTTTTTATTGGTTGCTCTAGAAGTCGAGACTGCTTACTGCAATCAAAGCTTCTCATATTAATTTAATGTATTCAAAGCTTTCTAGTTGGCATTATTTTAGAACAGCGTTCAGTTCACACTAAATTATCTCATACATTTAGTATAAACTGGATGTGATGCGTTGGAAACATCCATTACCACTTTTATTTATACGTAATGTAAAAATATACCTAAGTATTATTTTAATTGCAAATTTATTAAGAAAAGTCGTTTAATAAAGGACGTCCAATAGACCACTGGATTTATTTACTCCTCATCATCCTCACAAGCTTTGAGTGGAAAGTTTCATTTCATCTCACCCTAGAAAACTATTTGGGGAGCCCAAAAGTATTTTCCAAAAACGCTCTCCTCTAGGAAGGATATTTTCAAAAAACTACATCCTAGTGCGGAACAGCGATACTTACCTGAATGTTACCAGGATGGGCCCTTATAACTCTAGAATCTCGCCCGTTAACTACTGCTTACTATTGATTGCAACAATATTTTTAAAGGTAATATAACGAAATATTTTTCTAGAGGGGTAAATATGCGGTAATCGTTTTTTTATTAAATAACTGAATGGTACCTATTTTCCGAAGAGATCGATTTTTGGAAAAATATGATTTTAATGATGAGTATGTACCGTAAGCGCGGATCCAGCTTTAAATGAGGTTACCGCTTTTAAGCGTTTTTTGAGCGTTCACGTTCTTAAGCCGACGATTTCTTCCTTATTATTATTATTATTATTATTATTATAACCCAATCACTTTATAAATTAACATTTGTGACCTTACGTCGAAAGGAATCGATTGAGCTCAAAAAACACGCATAAAAATTTTTGATTTTTTGTCTAAATATTTCCAAGGGTAGGGGTCGATTTTTGAAAAAATGAAAAATTTTGGACTCGAGGAATGCATCGAACTCATTGAAAAACATGCTAGAAGTTTCAGATACGAAATGATAGACATTTTCGGTACATTTTAAGCGTTTTTTGAGCGTTCACGATCTTTCGCCGACGATTTTTTCCTTATTATGGACCCAAACACTTTATAAATGCACATTTGTGACCTTCGAAAGTTGAAAGGAATTGATTGAGCTCAAAAAACCCGCATGTGAAATTTTGATTTTTGCCCGAAATTTTTCCAACATTTTTTTTTCCGAAATTTTTCCAACACAACATATTAAACTGTACGAACTTTCAGTATCATAAAAATGGAGCAAACGTCTGATCTGAGAGCTCGTGTGAAAATCAAGTTCCGGCGCTCTAAACAGTGCAATGAAAGTGCTTAACATTGACAATTGTATTGTGCAGCCTCTCATAACAGATCAAGCTAAAAAGATTTTCAAGTTTCATGAAAACTAAGCAAAGGAGTGATCGGAGAGCGAGGATTTAATTTAGCATTCAAAAGTCGCCGCACGAACGGCAATGTTTGTTTATCTTTGATCGATAAACCAAATCGAACAGCACAGCAAAGCAATGAGTCATACGAAGGGACACCAAGCAAACGATTATTTTTTTATGTGATAAATACCTTAATCTTGCATTAGTTTTTGCTGAAAATTTAGTTCAGTTCATTGTGGGCTTGTGGACAACGGACGAAATTGGGGATAAATATACTAATTTAGTGCCATTTAACAAATCTTAGCTGTTGATTGTTAAGTGTAATCCACATTTATTTTCAACTTCGTCTGGATATTCACTGTTTTCTGATCATTAATGGATAGACAATGGTGGATCGGGCTCCAGGTTGCAGAAAGCAGGCAAGAAGGATTATTAATCTATAATCTGACTGAGTTTTGTTTTTCCAGACACAATTAAAGTTTTATTCAGTTTTCTATTTCTTTTCAATCAAATAACTGGGTTTTAAGCTAAGTTTATGTAATATTACAGATTTTTTCTTTCTTTTTTAGTGGTACTATGCAACTTTCGGTAAGTTTAGCATTACTTCGCCATAGCACGTTAAAACGTTGCGTGTGATCCTGGCCGCGCCATTTAGATTTCGCATTGTTTTTGCACAACAAATAAAATATGTTTATCGATTGATCAATCAGTGAGCGAAACAAGTAAATTACTTAAAGTCGAGGGAACTGGATTTCTATCGGAAAGCGGGAACTTGAAAAAAAAAACCATAAATAAATGAGATTTAATTTATTTAAATACATATGTAACATCACAACATAAACCTTAAAATAAGTCATACTTCTATTTTGAATCTATAAACGAATAATGTTCAAAGTGTCTTTTCAAATTGATGTTAAACTGGAAATTTCAGCCCGATGTTGTTGTTTTCGAAAGGTGGAAATAACAAAGTAATACAAGAACTTGTTTTTATTTAATAATATAAAAATACAAAACGGATTATGCATAGACCACCAGCTTATGCTTTGCTACTTTACAGGATCAGATGAGAAATATTACTTAGCATTGAATTGATCTTTAAAAAATGTGTAAGGTTTAATTTGTTAAGTTGATTGAAAAATAACGAAATAGAAAAATACAATTTCACTCACGAGCACAACTAACCTTTTTGGAAGAATGAAACTCCAGAAATCCCAACCGATTTGTGGGTATAAAAAATACAAAAATACTAAAAGCGAACTCTAACAATCTACAATTCAGTCTTGGCGCTCTTGGTATTACCATCTCTGTCCCACCCTTTCAATTCGTTGGTTGCCTCCTTGGCGATAAATTTAATGAAATCATCTACAGTTCTTCCACCCTAAAAGCACGGAAAACAGTTAATCCTTGGAACTAGTAAAAGTTGTGGCAAAATCAACTTACGTCGTATCTCACAGGACTGTCTTTCTTGTCCTTAGGAGCCCAGTATAAGGTAGGGAAACCCTTAACATCAAATGGTGCAGAAACATCATTGGCGGTAGCGTCCAGCTTGACAATGGAGACTTCTTCATCTTTAAGCTGAAACGAATGGAACAAGTGTTAGTCGAAATAATTTTCCCCAAGTAAAATGGCGTACTTTTTCGGCAAGTTCATCATAGACAGGAGTCAATTTCTTGCAGTGTCCACACCAGGGAGCGTAGAACTCAATCAAAGTGTCTTTTCCGTTGTTGATGACGACTTCGTCAAAGTTCTTTGCTACTGCTACAACTACCGGTCCTTCCTGGCTTTCTGGAATGGCTTCCGACTTGATGTAAGGGTCCAGTTGACCGTCGAGAATGTCATTAACAAAGGCCTCCAAAGCGAAAGGACTGCAATGAAAAAACCCAAATTGTATTAATTATTTTACCGATTCCTTAAGCTCATCAACACTCACGAGAATTCATCTCTAAGCACATATTTCTTGTCATCAGCATCTTTGGCGGCAACTCGTGGTTTGTCAGCTGGGGCGTACTCAATTCCAAACTCGTTCAATTCGTGTGTGAATTCATCGCTGGATGCAATCGCAAAGTTTATTTTTCCTTCGAAATCTTTGGCAACCTAAAAAAATTGTTTGAACATGAACGCGAGTTTTGAGCGTAAAAGAGAGTCGCAATGTGTAGTTACCTTCAACACACGGTTACGCCAGTAGTTGGTTCCTTTGGGATTTTTCACGTAGTCTACAGCATAGTAAACGACAACGAGGGGGTTTTTGAATTCACGTTGATTGTCCGATTTACGCACACCAACCAAACCATAGCTGCAACAGAAAAGTTTATTGTGTCCGATTAAAGCGATTGGGTTGGGTTGGACCATTGCAATTGCCAAGTCCACGGCATTGTGTAACTACTTACAAATTTTTGGTGATAAAGTCGTTCAAATCTGGGGTTTCAGCGGGTCCTGAATATTTGACCGATGATGCTTCGAATTTATTTTTCAAGTGAGCAGGGCGGAAAAGGACCACAGCGTCACTAAAACATTAATCTGAATTAGTCTCAGCTAGAGTGGTTTTGGATGTTTTTGTTACGTTTCTCCTTGCTTCTCCAACACGTCTTTAAATGACGAATGGGCGAATTGCACTTTTTCCCTCAGCTTGTTGGCCAGCTGCAAGAAGGCAGCTTTCAGATCAGACTCCTTTTCGAAGAATCCCACGACTACAGACTCCTTTTCTGTGGCCAATAACTTGTCGAGGTCAGCAACGGATTTCAGTTCTTTCGAAGCGGGTCCCACTTGAGCCTTCATGTATTTTACAAGACCTGTAATATATATATATTGTTGAGTTTTGCAAGGTGCGGCTAAATTTTTCTTGGCCTACCGGCTGCTTCTCTTGGGCCATTGTAATCTTGAGAGTACTCTCCATTGCGGAAAATCTTCAATGTTGGATAGCCACTGACGGAGTTTTTGTTACAGGTTTCTTTGCCTGCCTCTGTGCAGTCGACTTTGACTAGAGCGACTGGAGGGTCGTTTCTGAGCAGATCTTCAGCCGCTTTGGCGAATTCTGGCTTCAAACGCTTGCAATGACCACACCTGAAAGTTTGTATCAAAAGAGTTAGTTTGCCAGTTTTTGACTTTGAGCCGGCGTCAAAAACTTAAATTCATTTTTGTTTTAACAATGCAAAGCTAATGGTCTTCATATGTTCCAAATGAGCCATTCAAGAATATTCTTCTGGAGACATTGAAGACCATTTTCGGGATTGTTCGGGGGCAATTGGGATGCTAAAAATCTCCATAGTTAGATGAAGAACGCTTCACTTCCTTCGGGCCGGTTGAGGTCAGCTTGAAACACTTTTAAAGTTAGTAGCGGGTTTTGAAGATGAAGGTGGTAACTAAGGAAACATTGAATAAGTTCCTTCACGTCTAGGCAGGAAAATGAGGTTGAACTATAATTGAGTATTAACTTCCTGTGGATGTTTGGGGTGGTTTGCGATTCAGTCGCAGGGCTAATTTGAGCGAGTTATTAAGACAATAACTCGATGGCGTAAACGCCCTTGCTAGCGGGTTCTAAGGGGGTTTGAATGGCATCTGGGGGCACTTATACAGGTTGTGAGACACCAGGGAAACTTACCAAGGGGCATAAAACATAACTAAGGCTGTTTCATGCTCTGTAAGTCCTGACTCAAAATCGCTGTCACCAAATTCCAAGACATCTTCCTCTTTAGCCCAACCACAGGAGGCGACAAGAAGTACAGCAAGTATCTGAAATAGATACATTTTCTTCGCTATTTCTGCCCGGATTAAATGAATAGCCGGCTACAAACAGCCCCGTTGAAAAATTTCGGCGAACTGTCACTGAACGTACTGTAATCTGCACAGTTCACTGTACGTGGCCACCGTTTTATGGCAGCAGCCATGCGTTAGCTTTTGTGTTGTCTAGATTTGATTGGCTGCCGCGCTCCGAATTTCCACTATGTAAAGCCACCATTGGCTGAGATTGCCGGCTAAATTCAAAACGCCAATGGTTGATAAAAAGTGATTATTCACACAAGACAATAGTACATACTTTTAAACAAATAAGAGCGATTAAGTTCTAGTGGTTTATCTACTAGTCACAGATTGCTTGAGGAAGCGAGGCCTTTTAAATATGAACTTGTTTGTGCTTCAAAATGTTTTTTTTTGTGAGTAAATAGATAAAAACTAGCACGATTTCAGCAAGCAATTCTTGAAGCTTCTCGAGAAGTTATGGAGTACAGTTGCAATTGACTGATTACTCAGATACAGATCTTTGGAAAAAGGACAGGTTTTTGGCGATGCCATCAGCAAGCGCTTCCAAGACCGGTTTCGAAGCTGTTTGGTCCCATTCAGTTGCTCTTATCTGGCAATTTTCAGTTAAACATTTTGCATTTTTGTATTTTAATGTATGTATCTTTTACATAAACACTTGTTTCCATGACATACTTTTATAGCCAAATTACGCAAATACTTGAACATTTTTCTGCATTGTTTTTACATGCTTTCTATATCTCATGTAGATATATCAATTTTTTCTAAAAGAGTTATAAATCAAAAATTGTTCAGAAACTTGATAAATCCATCGCTCAATTCAATAAAAATTGAAAGGCACAAGATTTATCGATGGAAAGGGTTTGTTTCCCAAAAACTCAATACTCAGTTGGAGGCACGTTAATAGATGACTCTAGTAATACTGAAAAATTAGCAAACGTAATACTGGCTTTACAAGACATTCACCATTGTATCGCGTTTTAGTCATAGAAAAGGCCATGGAATATACGTACTAATAACAGGGGCGGATCCAGCTTTAAAGTCAGTGGTGGGGGGTTATGTAGAAAAAATACAGTCTTCTGTTATCTATGAAATTAGAAAAATGATCGTCGTTTTGTGCAAGGGTGGCGCAAGATTATTGC